TACGTAGAATGAAAACTCAACATGGCTTGCATACAAATGGACCTTTTTTACATTGTGTAGATGCTGTCATAATTAATAAAACAATTTAAAAATATTTTACTTATTTGACAGAGAGAGAGAGAAACAGCACAAGCGGGGGAAGCGGCAGAGGGAGAGGGAGAAGCAGGCTCCCCGCTGAACAGAGACCCCCCCCAATGTGGGACTCAATCCCAGGACCCCAGGATCATGACCTGAGCCGAAGGCAGAGGCTTAAGTGACTACACCACCCAGGGGCCCCAAATAAAACCATTTAAAAACAACAAAAACAGAAGTCACCTGGGACATCTGGGGACAGATGCAACCGACCTTTCAATTGAGGACACTATTCCTAAAACTAAATACGATATCGTAGAAGGAAAGAGTTTATAGTCATAATTTGGTTTTGATGGAGCAGAATATGCAAAGAAACCCAGACTTGCAGCTTGCATTAAGCATATAAGGATATCCTTACCTTGTTTGTACACTTGATTTGAAGGAGTTGTGACACGGTGTGCCCTCCCCACAGACACAGCAGGTGCAGGCTGAATTGGGTGATCACTGAAGGGACATGTGCAAGCTGCACTAAGATCTAACTGCCCACCGCCCACCCCCCGTGAATGCTCGGAAATGCTCTTGTGCCAGGATCTGTAGGCTTCCTTATGTTGCTTTACAGTTTCTTCATTGATAGATTTGACAGACAGAGATCACAAGTAGGCAGAGAGGCGGGCAGAGAGAGGGGGGGGAGGCAGGCCTCCCGCCAAGCAGAGAGCCTGATGCGGGGCTCGATCCCAAGATCCCCTAGGATCATGACCCAAGCAGAAGGCGGAGGCTTTAACCCACCGAGCCATCCAGGCACCCCTCTTTCTTTTTTTTAAAGATTTTTATTTATTTATTTGACAGAGAAAGAGATCACAAGTAGGCAGCGCACCAGACAGAGAGATAGAGGGGGAAGCAGGGTCTTTGCCAATCAGAGAGCCCGATGCAGGCCTCGATCCCAGGACCCCGAGACCATGACCTGAGCCGAAGGCAGAGGCCTAACCCACTGAGCCAGTCAGGCACCTGATACTATTTCTGAGGTGGGTATAATAATACACATGTCAATTAGCTTTTCATACACTTTGAATATGGTTAAAACTGTTGAGTCCATCCTTGACGCTAAAATACAAATCATACACTTGGGTGTATGCATTCACTTCCCCAAGACACAACCACTGTATTCCCATTGTGTGGAATGCACTTGTCCTCCATGCCCCACCACGAAACTCCTACCTGTACTTCAAGGTCCTTTCTTCCATGTTTTCCTTAATAAACGTCTTTGAAGCCTCTGCCTTCGGCTCAGGTCATGATCCCAGGGTCCTGGGATCAAGCCCCGCATCAGGCTCTCTGCTCCACAGGGAGCCTGCTTCCTCCTCTCTCTCTGTCTGCCTCTCTGCCTACTACTTGTGATCTCTGTCAGATGAGTAAATAAAATCTTTAAAAAGAAAAAAAAATAAACGTCTTTGAAATTAACGTCTTTCTTAGTCTTTCCATAAACACAGTGGAAGAAAACAGTGGAAGCGTTATAGGAGTTGAGGCATTTAGAAGATGGATTTAGAAAAGAGGATATATAGAGTCCTACCATTTGCCTACTGCAATCTGTCTCGAGCCCAAACTCAAGTGTCATAAGACCACCGTTCACTGTCCGTGTCTGGAACTATACCTCGGACTCACTGTATTCTGTGTCCTAGTCACTAGGACCAGCTACCTTCATCCAAAGGGACATGAACTACCCTTACGTGTCTGCTTTCCTTGTGCTTTATTGTTGTCGATGCTGTTCACTGTTTTCCAGAATTTCATCTCTATATTCTTTACAATTCCACTGGTGCCTGTAAAAATCCCATTTCAGGCCAAAGGCAAACCTAAATGTGAAAAAGAGGCTTAACCAGAGTATCCATTAGGGAAGTAAGTGCGCATTAGTTCCAAGCTCCATATGATATATTGCCCTCCTATAGTGTCGAAAAGCACTATTTGCACTGCATCAACCAGAAAGTAAGTAGGACGAAGGCTCTAGGAATGCTGGCTATTTGCTATAAGAATGGTACTGGGGCTCTGCTTTCAGCAAAATAGAGAGAAAAATGGTCATGAGTTTTGACTGCCCAGTATCCTCACGTTGGACTAGCAACTTGGATCCACTATCTCATTTAATCCTCAAAATCATGGTCAAGGTTAAGGAGTCTCTCTGACGCTTTAAAAAAAAAGAGATTTTATTTATTTGACAGTGGGAGAGCAAGAGAGAGAGCACAAGCAGGCGGAGCGGTAGGCAGAGGGAGAAGCCCAGTCCTTGATGAGGAGGGAGCCTGATGTGGGAGTGGATCCCAGGACTCTGGGATCATGACCTGAGCCAAAGGCAGCCGCTTAACCGCTTAACTGACTGAGCCACCCAGGCCCCTGGCGCTTTTTGAATTAAGGTTTATTTTTAAGGATCAAGCTCCATGTCAGGCTTCCTGCTCAGCAGGGAGTCTCCTGTCTGAACCTCCCCCCTCTGGTGCTCTCTCCCTCTCTCTCTCTCTCACTCTTCCTCTCAAACAAACAAAATATTTTTTAAAAGATTTTATTTGTAAGTAATCTCCACACTCAACATGGGGCTTGAACTCACAATCGTGAGATCAAGAGTCGCATGCTTCACTGACTGAGCCAGCCAGGCGCCCCTCATCTGTTAACTTTTTAAAGCAGTATTGTTACATGCTCAGCTAATGCTGGTGAAAAAGATGAAAAGGCACAGTTCCTGTTTTCACCAGGCTCACGTGTTTGAATCCCTTATGAACCCATTCCTGCGAGCCAAGGGGAAGCTGAAGTAGGAGTCCCCCCAAGAATTGACTCTGTCCAGAGAAGTTCTGCTCTGCCCCTGAGACAGTGAGCAGGACACCCAAGAACTCTGTATGTTCCTGGCAAGTACTCCCACCTTTGCCTTACACCCAACACTCCCTGCCTCACCACCATGATCGATCTTGAGACCTTCATGTCAATCGCCACAAAAAGCCCGGGACATCCTGGGACCACACCAGCCCCTGGCACACCCGTTGGGAAGCTCTACCGCAGAACTCCCGGGCCCAGAAACAGGGGGTGTTGGGTGCCTGGGCTTTCAGGTGACTTGTTAAAACCTCGTTGCTAACACAGCCCAGACGGATCCTTCCTGCCCCCTGGTCCTGGCGCCATAACATCATCCATTCAGGGAGGCCAGGGTGATGCCCTGACCGGGGGGGGGGGGGGAGGGGGGGCGAGACAGATGGTCAAAGACAGTGGTGAGCCACCGTCTGTCTCAAGATTCCCCTCCCTACAGGTACCCGGTTAGAGAGTACAGGGGTTGGGGGGTAAGGTGGGAGAATCCATGGCCCCTGAATCTGTCCTGTCCAGTGGTGGGCTTCTCTGGGGTTCCCATAGGCTGGTGCTGCTTCAGCAGGATGAGTTTCAGGGGGATCCGGAGCTGACAGTGTCCCACTTGCCCCATCCCGTCCCGTGACTCCATGGCTCAGGAAGCCTGAACATGAACAGAAGGCAAGTTCAATCAGGGCAAAGGATTTGGGCCTTGCATTCAAGGCTGTAACCCCAGGAGCTAGCACATAGAAGGCAATCACTATTTCTAGAGTGAATCAATGAGTGATACCTAAAATCTAGAAGACACTGACTCCACCTACTGAGCATAACATGGGGGAACTAACCACTATGTGGCTGGGTCATCTCATGGACCTGTAATGCAAACTCAGATTAACAAAAAAAACTTGGGGCGCCTGGGTGGATCAGTGGGTTAGAGCCTCTGCCTTTGGCTCAGGTCATGATCCCAGGGTCCTGGGATCAAGCCCCACATCGGGCACTCTGCTCTGCGAGGAGTCTGCTTCCTCCTCTCTCTCTGCCTGCCTCTCTGCCTACTTGTGATCTCTGTCTGTCAAATAAATAAATAAAATCTTAAAAAAAAAACTTATGGTGGACACCGAGTTTTAAAAATAAAGGTTCTTAGAGGTGCCTGGGCAGCTCACTGGGTTAAGCCTCTGCCTTCAGCTCACCTGGGATTGAGCCCCAAATCGGGCTTTCTGCTCGGCGGGGAGCCTGCTTCCAACCCCACCCCCCCCCACTGCCTGCCTCTCTGCCTACTTGTGATCTGTCAAATAAATAAATAAATAAATATCTTTTAAGAAAAGGTAAAGGTTCTTAGGGGTGCCTGGGTGGCTCAGTTGGTTACATGTCTGCTTTCATCTCAGGTCATGATCCTGGGGTCCTGGGATTGAACCCTGAGTCAGGCTCCTTGCTCATCGGGGAGTCTGCTTCTCCCTCTCCCTCTGCCCCTACCCCACATGCCCACTAGTGCACTGTCTCTCTCTCTCGTGCACTCTCTCAAGTAAATCTGGCTTCAGGGATGCCTGGGTGGCTCAGTCCGTTAAGCGGCTGGCTGCCTTCGGCTTAGGTCTTGTTCCCAGCTTCCTGGGATGGAGTCCTGCATTGGGCTCCTTGCTCAGCAGGGAGCCTTGTTTCTCTCTCTCCCTCTGCCTGCCACTCTGCCTGCCTGTGCTCTGTCTCTCTCTCTGTCAAATAAATAAATAAAATCTTTAAAATAAATAAATCTGGCTTCAGCTCAGATCATGATCTCACGGTTATGGGACCGAACCCTGCATCAGGCCCTCTGCTTAGCAAGGAGTCTCCATATCCCTCTCCCTCTGCCCCTCCCCACCCCCTACTCATTCTCTCTCTTTCTCAAATAAATAAAGTCTTTAAAAAAATATACAAAGGATTAAGGTAAAAATGTCTTTAATCAATAATGAAAAATGCTGGCCACTCTCCAGAAGGTACACTCCATTTAACCAGCCCACATGGAACTTGAAAGGCTGTGCTTGAATTAACTGTTGAGGCTTACTAAGCTCTTTTTCACAAAACACATTTAAATCAGGCCTTTTGCTGATAAGAAAAGAGAAGGCGCCCAGGGAACACAAATGCTGTTCTCTTATTAGCACCTTTTCACTGGAGTCATAGAAATTGCTCTCCAAGTGTAGCAGGACTGAATGCTCTCCACCACGACAGCGTTAACAATATCGGATACTTGAGGTGTGTATCCAGCAGGCAGCTTCAGAGATTCCAAGGTGAAAAAGATGCTATCATCTATCACCCCATTTCTTCCATGGAGGCTAGTAATGCAGACCTGTAATTACAGATAATAGAACTGTTGATGTAAAAGCACCATCCGCTGTAACATGGCCTGCATCTCCTTGCTCTCACTTTAATCTGCAGGTCACTCCGTTCCCAGCCTGGCCGCCATGTTGGAAACACCGGGAACACTTTGTAAAACTACCCATGGCGACCCCTACCTCACAGCCGCTAAGTCAGAAGTCCTGCAGACCTGGCCCCGGTCGAGGATTAGAAACTTTGCACTAGATACACCACATAATGTCCATTAACCTCTCCAGCGAAGGCTGAGGGAATGAAAGGGGCAGAGTGAGAAAGGAATGTGGTGGCCAACAGAAGGCCATTTCTCTACTTCCTGGGTCACATCCCAAGCACCATCTGTCCCTTTGTGCAGACCGACTTTCCCATTCCTTTCCACTCTCTGATACTTAAGTCACACTCAGCATTTACCGCAAGCTCTGGTCCCCTTCTTCCCCCCAACAATTCCCTCAACAAGATTTGTTTTCTGTTCAGGTTGCTCTCAGGGTATTTTAATACCTCCCAAGTAGACTGTCTGATTTAGATCTTAATTATATGTGTGTTGTATAGTATCCTCAGATTGTGTCCATTTAGAAGCACGGTCTGGGGGCACCTGGGTGGCTCAGTGGGTTAAGCCTCTGCCCTCGGCTCAGGTCATGATGTCAGGGTCCTGGGATCGAGCCCCGCCTCGGGCTCTCTGCTCAGCAGGGAGCCTACTTCCTCCTCTCTCTCTGCCTGCCTCTCTGCCTACCTGTGACCTTTGTCTGTCAAATAAATACATAAAATCTTAAAAAAAAAAAAAAAGAAGAAGCACGGTCTGTTCAATAAGGAAAGAGACTCTTCCTTGGCAAAGAATGGTTTTCCCAACACATCACATGGAATCCCGGGCAGCAGCAAAGGTCACTCAAGGAAGGAGAAGCAGAACCCAATAACAAGAGCTACATGCCAACGGACTACCTCATGCACATGCTTATGTCTCCGAGGCTTCACCGACAGGGCCCTTCTGTTCAGTGTGTCCGATGGGGTGCAAAATTCAACTTCTACTCGGTCCCCCTGGTAAGGCTCGAAACCTAAAACAGCCACGGAGAGAAATTGAGTTGAAAGGATCTCTCAGTCTTGGTAATGCTCAGTTTCACAGTTACCTCGACATTATGAGACCCTAAAATAATTTCAATTACATCGAGAGTACATTTTGAACCTTTTAAAACAGGGAACCTTGAAAGTCTTCCTGTCAGAAAGGACGTCTGTAATCCTCTAGACATTGATTCTCTCTTTGGTTTAACTGAGTCTGTTGGGCATCCCAGGCCAAGCTCTTGGGGAGCAGCACGGGATTTATTAAACCACTGTTCAAGTTCGCAATCCCTCTGGAGACGCAGGGAAGTACGTAAGTCAGGGCACATGTGTCATTCTGGCTGCCTGGCTTCCAACTACTCGACCTGCAACCTTGGGCAAGTTTCTTAACCTCTTTGTGCCTTGATTCCTTCATCTATAAAATGAGAAGCATAACTGTAGGACTTAGCACAGAGATTTGAAGGGAGAATTAATCAGTGCATATAAAACTCACAGAACAGTGCCTGGCACATAGTCAGCCCCAAATACACGCCACAGCCTAAAACTGGCAAGATTCTGCCGGGCTATCAAGTCAGGAGGATCGCTGGGAAATGTGAGAAACTCCAGGTTAGCTTTACCCAAAACATTTACAGGCAAACTCAACTCCGATGTCTTGTCATGCAGGGTAGAGATTAGTCTGAATGTCCTTGCTATAATATAAACCTATAACTACTTACTTGTTTAATAATTTGGTAACCCCCCTTTTTTAGTTTTCACTAAACCCTTTTGGCAGCAATGAGGAGAAGCATGAATGCATGTTTAGGGAAAATGAGTCATGAAATAATTTTCCAGGAAAGTTGATGAATACACGAATTATATGATTCCTCTGGGCTATGGATTGAATGTGTCCCCCTAAAATTCCTGTGTCAAAGCCCTGACCTCCAGGGTGACTGTAATCAGAGATGGGGCCTCTAAGGAAGTAACTAAGATTAAATGAGCTCCTAAGAAGGGGCACCTGGCCGGCTCAGTCAATAGAGCCTGTGACTCTTGATCTTGGGGTCCTGAGTTCAAGTCCCATGTTGGGTGTAGACATAAATAAAAAAAACAAAGAAAGGGAACCTAATCTGATAGGATTAGTGTCCTTGTAAGAAGGGGCACTGAGGGTTCTGTGCTCTCTCTCTCCCCTCCTCACACACACACCAAGGAAAGGTCATGTGAGGACTCCGTAAGCTGGTTAAGCATCTGCCTTTGGCTCAGGTCATGATCCCAGAGTCCTAGGATCGAGCCCCATGTTGGGCTCCTCTGCCCTTCCCCCTGCTTGTGCTCTCTGTCTCCCTTTCAAATAAATAAAACTTAAAAAAAGAAAAATATATTGACTATTGTAAATGCCCAAACTTAAAACCAATTTGTTAGTTACACATAATAATTTCAAAAGTTGATTTAACTTTAAGCAAGTGTAACACCGTTTTTTAGCCCCAAAATGACTCAGATTGGACAAGAGAGGATATGGTCACCCCCTATAGCTATAGCTCTAGGAGCGGGGTGCCCTACACAAGCTATGGCCTTTGGTAGATGTATAAAGTCATTGCCAATGTGCAGCCTGGCAATGAGGTATCTAGAGGAATAAATACTCCAACATCTCCCAGTCTACTCCAGTCTCCCGAATCCAATCATAAGAATGTCAGCAGCTGAAGAACAGGGTCTTTTAGTGACTGTTGGTCACTACAGAGGCAGACTGAAGCAGGGAGGCTACCTCTGAATGGAGTAAGATGCAGTGCAATTGAGTAATTCAAGGCATAAGAGAAAATCCAAAAAGGGATAAGAAGGTTACATGGAGGGAGGCCTGGGTGGCTCAGTTGGTTAAGCCTCTGCCTTTGGCTCAGCTCAGGACCTCAGGGTCCTGGGATCGAGTCCTACATTGGTCTCCCTGGTCACTGAGGAGCCTGCTTCTCCTTCTGCCTTCTGTACCCCCCCCCAGCTTATGCTGGAGCTCTCTTTGATAAGTAAAAATGAAGTCTTAAAAGGTTACATGGAATTTCCTTTTACTCTTTCAAATGGGCACACAAGCCAATATGTTCTTTAAAAAACAAAGTGTTACTTATTTACATGAAAGAGAGAGTGTGAGTAGGAGAGGGACAAAGAATCTGAAGCAGGCTCCCCGCTGAGCAGGAAGCCTGACTCAGGGCTTGATCCCAGGACCCCCGAGATATCGACCTGCGCCAAAGGCATGTGCTTAACCGACTGAGCCTCCCAGGTGACCCTCAAGCCAGTATATTCTGAAAAATAAAGAAAAAAACCTTATTTGAGACCCCAGGCTTCTAACTCAGACACACTGGTTAGATAAGGATATGTAGGATATTGGGCACCCTGAAAACTAGAGAATGAAATTCCAGCCTTGGGTACTTGGTAGACTCTGCACCCCCGCCCTGAGGCTGAGTGCTCTATTCTATTTTAGCATCCTTCACCAAAATGGTTAAGATTTACTGTTTATTTACCTAAAAAATCATAATCTTGGACCCATTCCTGATGTTAACCATTTCCAACAAGAAAACACTCATGAACCTAAACCTTCTCATCCTTGCCTGCAAAATGGGGCAGGTCACCACCATCCTGTGAAGCAGGTCACCACAAATGGGATCTTGGGCTTGGAAGCACCCATTCGAGCACCTCCACTGACATAGAAACACCTCCGAGTTCTGCACGGAAGAACACACAGGCTCAGCTACTCCCTCTTCCGTGCTCCAGGCCCACACGGTCTCCACAGATTCACTTCCCACTTCTTCCTCAACCCACTGCTAGTTGTTTCCGTCACTATCCCATCCTACCACAACCAACTGCATCCGGGTTACCTCAAAAGGTTCTCAACAGGAGTAACTCTAGTGTAAATTACGAACCTAACACAGGACCACATCGTACCCCATCATCGTACCCCAGGGATCCTCCTGGCACTTATAATTCCATCTCATACCACCCCTTGTTCAGGTCATACCACACATGCTCACCACACTGCCCTGTCCACCCTTCAGTTCCTAAGACAGGCCATGGGTTTTCCCACCGTAGGACTTTTATAGTGACTCTCCCCTGATTTAAGTATTTTCCCCAGCCAAACTCCTCCTTCAGGTCCAAGTCATTTCCTCAATGAGGCCTTCCCTAATGTGCTACCAATAGCAAACCCCACCTCACCCCACCCCACCCCACTCCCAGTACTATCACAGCACCTGGTTCAAGTCCTGGAGCGGAGAAAACACTCTGGAACTCTCTCTCTTTTGGCAGGGGTGGGGGGACTCACTCACTTGCTGCCCATCTAAGATCTACCTCATCAGAATGCAAATATTAGGAAAACAGTACCTGGGACAGGGCCAGGAACTCAAATATTCTGTTGCAAGAACATCAATAAGAAAAGAATATACACTGAGTCCCCATCGTGTGGGATGAGAAAATTTAACAATTTTTCCATCTTTTAGATTCCCAGTATTTTTTTAAAAGTTTTTATTTATTTATTTGAGAGAGAGAGAGAGAAAAAAAAAAGAGAGATTGGGGGCAGGGGCAGATGTAGGGAATCCCAAGCAGACTCCTCATTGATGGTGAAGCCTGAGTCGGGGCTTGATCTCAGGATCCATGAGATCATGACCTGAGCTGAAATCATGAGTTGGACCCTTAACCGACTGAGCCACCCAGACACCTCAATTCCAATTATGTATTTGGTTTTAGATTTATTTATTTATTTTAGAGAGAGGGAGTGGGGGAGGGAGCAGAGGGAGAGGGAGAAAATCTCAAGCAGACTCCCCGCTGAGCAGGGAGCCCTACACGGGCTTGACCCCCACGACCCTGTGATTGTGACCTGAGCCGAAATTAAGAGTTGGGTGTCAGGGGTGGCTGGGTGGCTCAGTGGGTTAAAGCCTCTGCCTTCGGCTCGGGTCGTGGTCCCAGGGTCCTGGGATCGAGCCCCACATGGGGCTCTCTGCTTAGCGGGGAGCCTGCTTCCTCCTCTCTCTCCCTGCCTGCCTCTCTGCCTACTTGTGATCTCTGTCTGTCAAATAAATAAATAAAATCTTTAAAAAAAAAAGAGTTGGATGTCAGTCACTTAACCAACTGAGCCCCTCCCATTACATTAAATCGGAATTTATCTTTGGTCTTTTTCCTTAGGTTTCATAATCAGATTAACAGCAGCTCTTCTGACAATGCTAAGTATGATTAATTAGACGCTCAGGCCTTTCTAATACATTCTTCTTTTCCACTCTCCAGAGGTCTATTATGCTGATTCACTCAATTTAATTTTGCCGCAGTAAAACCTTTCGCCTGTGCTCTGGGTCCGGCCTCTCTTTTATGCCTCAGGGCCCTGGTTCCATCAGTCCTTCCCACTCTTTCCTACACCTTCCATCACTACCTTTGGCATTAAAAACACTTTCAAGTGTTTCCCATCTTGAGATGAATTCTCCTAGCGAGGGCTACCATTGGTGGCGCCTTCCTGTTGGCATGGTTACACGGACCGGGAAATTGACTTCAGAGTTTAGCAATCCCAGGGGGCTTTTCTCCTTGAACGAGCTATTTCTAACTAAAAGTGTCTTAAAATCCCAGCTGTCACCAATAATCATCTCTGGGGACTTCCACGGTTACCAACTACGGTCAAGTCCTGACTTTTTTTTTTTAAGATTTTATTTATTCATTTGACAGAGAGAGATCACAAGTAGGCAGAGAGGCAGGCAGAGAGAGAGGAGGAAGCAGGCTCCCCACTGAGCAGAGAGCCTGACACGGGGCTCAATCCCAGGACCCCAAGATCATGACCTGAGCTGAAGGCAGAGCCTTACCCACTGAGCCACCCAGGTGCCCCAAGTCCTGACTTTTAAATCCCAGAAAATGAAGTGGAAAGCTGCCTGGTATGGCTGAACCAACTTCCCCCTTTGGTATTCGAGCTACACAACAGCTGGTTGGGCTTAAACAGGTACCAAAGTTTTACTTCTCTTTGTCTTTCCAAAGCTAGCCTGGCAGAGGGTGGCAAGGTATAGAGTCTGGCTGGGAAAGCATCTTACCCAGGCAGCCTTCCCCAAGTCTCCCCACAGCAGGTGGTCATTCTGTCTTCCCTGCTCAGTAATGTTGTTTTCATCATGTTCTTTCAATGTACCCACACATCCTGGGGAACTCGGGTGGCTCAGCTGGCTAAGTGTCTGCCTTTGGCTCAGGTCATGATCCTAGGGTCCTGGGATCGAGTCCCACATGAGGCTCCTTTTTTTTAAGATCTTATTTTTTTTTAAGATTTTATTTATTTATTTGACAGAGAAAGATCACAAGCAGCCAGAAAGGCAGAGAGGCAGGGTTGGGGGTGGTGAAGCAGGCTCCCACTGAGCAGAAAGCCAGATTTGGGGATCGATCCCAGGACCCCGAGATCATGTTCTGAGCCGAAGGCAGAGGCTTAACCCACTGAGCCACCCAGGAGCCCCTCACATCAGGCTCCTTGCTTGGCAGGGAGCCTGCTTCTCTCTCTGCCTGCTGCTCCCTATGCTTGGCTCTTTCTCTCTCTCTGACAAATAAATAAATCAAATATTTAAATAAATAAATAAATAAATACATAAATAATCTTTTTTAAAAAAATGCGCCTACACGTCCATCTCTCCCAACTAGACTATGAACCCTTTACACACAGGGTTTAATAAAGTCTTACTTGTCTTGTCTTGCCACTAACAAGCACTATATCACGAGCTGAGTTAAACTCAACTAGCATAAACAAATTAAGAAATAATCGCTTTAGGCATGAAACAACACAGTTAGACCTGATAATTACAAACAGAATTCAACAATAGTACACACACACACACACGCACGGCAAGTGCTAGAGGAGGTCATCAAGAGGCTGTGACCACCAGCTGACCCAGGAAGAGGAGCCTGGGAGCTTGGGGGCTCCTCATCCCCTGCCCTGTCCTGGGAATGTATGTTCTGCCCCCCAAATCCTTCAGGTGGAAGTCGAAGCCTGTAGAGAGTAAGGTGTGGCAGAGACCATCTGGACCGTATAGGTGACTGAACCCAATTAAGGCATCTATGTAAACTTCTAATATTCTGGCAGATGGGTGCAAAGATCTACTCCTTTTGTGACCCCACCAGACAAGCTTCGTTTGTAAGTTCCCTTGATTACTACACCAGCCACCTACCAATCAGGAGTGGCCTGCCTCTTTCCTTGGTCTCTCTGGGCCCTCCATGTGTGGTGCTGGGGGCGGGGCAGGGGGGCAGGCAGAGTTTGCAAGCGAACAGAAAGGTATAAGGCTAACTCCAAACTTGGTTTTAAGGCATCTGAAGTAATTTTTTAAAAGACTTTATTTCTTTATTTGACAGACAGAGATCACAAGTAGGCAGAGAGGCAGGCAGAGAGAGAGGGGGAAGCAGGCTTCCTCCTGAGCAGAGAGCCCAATGCGGGACTTGATCCCAGGACCCTGAGATCATGACCTGAGCCGAAGGCAGCGGCTCAACCCACTGAGCCACCCAGGTGCCCCTGAAGTAATTTTTAAAAAACAGTATCCCTGTGCAGCACCTGGGGTGTTCAGTTGGTTGGACATCTGACTCTTGGTTTTGGCTCAGGTTGTGATCTCAGGGTCCTAGGAATGAGTCCCACATGGAGCTCCGCACTCAGTAGGGAATCTGCTTCAGGATTCTCTCTACCTCTCCCCCACTTGCTCTCTCTCTAAAATAAATGAATAAATCTTTTAAAAATTCAAATAAAAGAACAAGAATATCCCTGTGTACCTGTATTATTTTTCAGTTAGATTAGAAATTCAGTGCCTATATGAATGGAAAAATGACACAAAACTAGCAACCACATCCAATAAATGAAATGTCAACAAATGACAGCCTCAGTTTCTAAGAACATTATGTCATCTTTCCCTTGCTGCACATTATTTTCGATTCCTAAGGCCCACCTCAAGTACCAAAGAGCCTCTGATTGGAGCCGAGGACACTAGAGAAGTAGTTCTAATCCAAAAATCCTCTTGCCAAATGGCATGTTCCAAATCTGACCCTGGAAATGGTGCCTGAAACCATCTCCAAAGCCAGTCGATAAAATTAAAAGGCAAAACCGAATTTTAAATGTTGAACCATGTAAACCGTACCTTTACAAACGACATCTAGAGAGAAGTAGGTTGTGTGATCAATGTAGTTAGCGCCTTCCACGACAGTGGAAACACAGCCAAATGAAACTCTGGCATAGGAGTCCCGGGGCCCATTGCCATGGCAACTGTCACAGAGTGCATCCACCTGTGAGAAAAGGAAACCATTCCAGCAAACATAACGCAGTTTGAAAAAGCAGAAACATGCTTAAATCACTGTCGTTCCAGAAGTGGTTGAAACAATTATAATAAACAGTGGTGAACAGAGTTCACCTGACAAATTATCACAGGCATGAGACGATGAAAATAATGAATGAGCTTTTTATCTTTTATTACTTTATTTTTTAGAGCAGTTTAGGAGTATTGAGCTGAAATTTCCCATACATTCTGCCCCTCTGTCCTTAGTGTGCCCTGTTACTAGCACCTTGCACTGTTGGACTGGTACATCTGTGTAATTGATGAACCGATACTGATACCATATCTTTAAAGTCCACAGTTTACTTTTTAGGGTTTTATTTATTTATTTGCCAGAGAGAGAGAGAGAGAGCACAAGAGAGCACAAGCAGGGGGAAAAGCAGGCAGAGAGAGAGGGGGAAGCAGGCTCCCTGCTGAGCAGAGAGCCTGATGTGGGGCTTGATCCCAGGACCCTGAGATCATGACCTGAGCCTGAGGCAAATGCTTAACCCCCGGAGCCACCCAGAAGTCCCTAAAGTCTATAGTTTAAATGAAGGTTCACTCTTAGTGTTATCTTTCATATATATTTTTAAAGATTTTATTTATTTTGAGAGTGAGCGAGCTGGAGGAGGGGCAGAGGGAGAGAGAGAATCTTAAGCAGGCTCCACGCCCAGTATGGTGCCCGATGTGGGGCTCAATCTCACGACCCTGAAATCATGACCTGAGCCAAAATCCAGAGTCTGATGCTTAACTGACTGAACCACCCAGGCGTCCCTGTTCTGTCATATATTTTTTAAATGTGTCTAAAAACATATTTTGTGTACCAACCAAGTTCAATGCACCGATAGTACTAGATTCAAAGGTAGGAGATACACTGTTCCTGCCCTCCAGCAAGTCACAATCCAAGGGGAATAAAAGACAAAAATCACTTATTCAATGTAAGTTATGACAAATGATAAAACCAAGTGCAAATGTAGGCTTCTGGGAATTCCCAGTAGGGAAAGAATTTCAGATGAAAGAACATAGGACACAGTCTTGGAGAGAGTGGGATCTGACATGGGCTGTGAGAGAAAAGAATGATTTTTACCTGGCAAATGGAGGCAGGGTTAAGGACAGGGATAGGAAGATGGCAGGGGGAGAGACACAACACATTCCAAGTTAGAGGAACAAGGAAGAAAACTAAGATCCCAGATCAGTGCACCCAGAAGGCAAAACATGAAATATACAGTTGGGAAAATAACAGGGGAAGGGAGAAGCTCTAAAACGACAGACTTAATTTATCTACAATAGGGAGGCATTCAAAACCTTTATTACTGGAAGTACAGTGCCTTCATTTTGTATTTTGTTTTTCTTCTTTTTTTTTTTTTTGAGAGAGAGAGCGTGTGTGTATATGTGGTGGGGACAGGAGGCAGAGGGAGAGGGAGAGAGAGACTCTCAAACAGGCCCCTCCCTGAGCACAGAGCCCCACGTGGAGCCTGAAGCGGAGCCTCATGCAGGGCTGGGACCCCACCACCCTGAGATCATGACCTGAGCCGAAATCAAGAGTTGTCCTCTTAAGTGACTGAGCCACCCAGGCATCCCATTGCTTTTCTAACTGTGCAAATAATACATATTCATTATAGAAATACATGAGACAGAGAAAGAAGCAAAAAACTACACATAATTCACAAATCTACTACCTACCTAAAAATAAACACTGACCCCATTCTGGTACTGACCCTGCTCCAGATGTCTGTACTATGCATAAATATCTATGCACTTTTTTTTTTTAAAGATTTTATTTATTTGACAGACGGAGATCACAAGTAGGCAGAGAGAGAGGAGGAAGCAGGCTCCCTGCTGACAGAGAGCCCGATGTGGGGCTCGATCCCAGGACCCTGGGATCATGACCTGAGCCGAAGGCAGAGGCTTCAACCCACTGAGCCACCCCATCTATGCACTTTTTTAAAAAAGATTTTATTGATTTATTTGACAGAGAGAGACACAGTGAGAGAGGGAACACAAGCAGAGGGAGTGGGAGAAGGAGAAGCAGGCTTCGCCAAGCAGAGAGCCCAATGTGGACCTCGATCCCAGGATCCTGGAATCGTGACCTGAGCTGAAGGCAGGCACTTAACGACTGAGCCACCCAGGCGGCACCCTATGCACTGTTTTAAGGGAAAATTTAGTATTATATGTATTATTGATTTATTACCAAATGACTGTAAATATGTCGATAGACTGTTGAAACATTATTTTATTTTTTTAAGATTTTATTTATTTGTTAGAGAGAGGTAGAGGGAGAAGCAGACTCCCAGCTGAGCAGAGAGCCTGATGCAGGGCTCGATGCTAGGACCCTGGGATCATGACCTGAGCCGAAGGCAGAGGTTTTAACCCACTGAGCCATCCAGGCGCCCTCATGAAGTTTCTAATGGAAACTTGATCCATGGAGGTGTCAATTCATTCTCATGGGGCTTTTGTTTTTGTTTTTAATAGCCTAAGTCACGGCCTATTTCCATTTCTCTGTCTAGGCATTTCCAGCTGCCAAGGCCAATCTCATGGTCAGTTCCCCCTCATTCATTTTCAGCGAGGAATTAAGCACCAGGCTCCCAACTATGGCCCCACGACCACTTCTGTCAATATCCAAATGGATGACCTCGAAGACCCCGTCCTCTCTGTTTCTGACTCTCTACTAACCACCACACGGAGTAAACATGCCTTCTCACAATCTGAACCTAGCTGTCCACACCCCACAACTAGAACACTGGTAGGTTATTTTTTAATTACAAATAGTTTATGTTCATTAATGCAGAAACAGTGAACACAGATATTTTCTCTGAGCAAATAAAGGCCACTGGACAAGGCCTCCGGTATCAACTTCCTGGCACCTATCCTGGATTTCTCTGCCTTCCCTCATACAATAGTGGAGGGTCACCCAAGCGCCTTACCCAAGACCAACCCCCCAGCTGGGCACATGGTACCACTCTGTCTTGTCTCTGTGTCTTCCCTCTATATGAACAATTTTTCCTCTTCTTTTTTTTTAATTTTTATTTATTTTTTTAAAAGATTTTATTTATTTATTTGACAGAGAGAGAGATCACAAGCAGGCAGAGAGGCAGGCAGAGAGAGAGAGGAGGAAGCAGGCTCACTGCTGCGCAGAGAGCCCGATGCAGGGCTTGATCCCAGGGCCCTGAGATCATGACCTGAGCCGAAGGCAGAGGCTTAACCCACTGAGCCACCCAGGCGCCCCTCCTCTTCTTTTTTTTTTTTTTAAGATTTTACTTATTTATTTGACAGAAAGAGACAGAGCAAGAGAGGGAACACAAGCAGGGGGAGTGGGAGAGGGAGAAGCAGGCATCCCGCTGAGCAGGGAGCCCGATGCGGGGCTCGATCCTAGGACCCTGGAATCATGACCTGAGCCATAGGAAGACGCTTAAAGACTGAGCCACCCAGGCGCCCCAATTTTTCTCTTTCTAATGAATCCATATACAAACATTCTCTAGACCTTCCTCTTTTTTTCTGGTAAATATCTTTGTGAATTTTATCGCGTTTACCTTAAACTTACGATCAACTCAAAAACCGAAGTTTTTAAATATCTTTTTCATCCAGAAGCAGTCTGGCTTTCCATTCAATCAGTTCTCTTTTTATTGCCATCAGGAATGTTTTGTAGCTGTCTTCATTTTTTTTGTTTGTTTTATTTTTATTTTCTTAATTCTAGTACAGGTGATCTACACTGTTCTATGAGCTGCAGGCATACAATACAGTGATACAATTCCATACATTACTCACTGCTCATCATAAGGGTACTCTTAGTCCTTCTTTAAAAAAAAAAAAAAACCTCCCTTGATCCTATTTCTCCTTCAGTCTCATTTCTTTGCTCCTCCTCCCAGCAAAAGACATTTAAAGATTCATCTATACTCACCTCCCCATCTCCCATCAGCTCCTCACTGCTCTCCTATCAGGCCTTATATCCCCAATATGCCTCTGAAACTGCTCTTAAAATCACCAGCAAGGTTGCCAAATCCAACAGTCCATTTTCTCCGCTCCCATCACTCAACCTCTTAGCATTTGATCCAACTGGAAAACCTTGCCTGGCTTCGATGTGACCCCCCTCTCCTGGAGAGGCTCCATCTCAGCCTCCTCTGTTAACACTCCCTTCCTGTTTCCTGTCCTTGAACTGAATACACCAAGTTACAGACATAGTGTCCCGTCAGTATCTCAAGCCTAACATGGACAAAACTTAATATATTCTGAACTTCCCAGAAAAAAAACTGCACTCCACCCCCATCTTCTACAACTCAGAAAATGGCAAGTCCGCTCACCTGCACAAGATGGGCACATTCCAGTATATAAAAATTAAGCAGCACGGGCACCTAGGTGGCTCAGTGGGTTAAATAAAGCCTCTGCCTTCGGCTCAGGTCATGATCCCAGAGTCCTGGGATGGAGCCCCATATCCGGCTCTCTGCTCGGTGGGGAGCCTGCTTCCTCCTCTCTCTCTGCCTGCCTCTCTGCCTACTTGTGATCTCTGTCAAATAAATAAATAAAATCTTTAAAAAAAAATTAAACTGCACAAAGTCAAAAGACAGCCTTGGAGGAAATACTGGCAAAACATTCATATGAGGGGTGCCTGAATGGCTCAGCTGGTTAAGCATCCGTCTTTGCCTCTGGTCACGATCCTGGGGTCCTGGGATTAAGCTCATGTTGGGGGGGGGTCGTCCCTGCTTAGTGGGAAGCCTGCTTCTCCCTCTCCCACTCCCCCTGCTTGAGTTCCCTCTCTTACTATGTCTCTCACTGTCAAATAAATAAATAAAATCTTTAAAAAATAAAATTTAAAAAAGCTCATATGAGAAATTTCCCAACAAAGCTCTCATTCCCATAACATAAATAGCTCTAATGCTCCTACTGTGGAAATGGCTCTCAAAAGAGAAACGTTGCTGTACTCTCCCCAACACTTACAGAATTGCAAAAATAAAATTGTGAGACTGCTTTTTTTTTTCAAGATTGGCAAATATTTCAAAGATTGAAATATTTCCATCCTTCTTAATATTGGCACAGGCATTTTCCACAGCCTGCTGTTGACAGTGCTAATCGGTAAAATAAAGCTGAAGCATAATTTGATGATGATATCTATTAAAATGGTAAATATCAGGGCACGTGGGTGGCTCAGTGATTAAGTATCTTCCTTCGCCTCAGGGTGTGATCCTGGGGTTCTGGGATGGAGCCCCGCATCAGGCTCCTAGCTCAGGGGGAAGCCTGCTTCTCCCTCTCCCACTCCCCCTGCCTGTGTTCCCTCTGTCGCGGTCTCTCTCTCTCTCTCTCAAATAAATAAATAAATAAAATCTTTAAAACATGGTAAATATCTTCACTGAGGTGACAGTTGCATGACTAAATGCAACTGCATTTACTAAAAACATCCAGGAACTATGCCTTTAAAAATGAGAATCTTGGGGCCCCTGGGTGGCTCAGAGGGTTAAGCACGTGACTCTTGGTCTCAGCTTAGGTCTTGATATCAGGGTTGTGTTCAAGCCCCATGGGGAGCCTACTTAAAACAAGTGGAGAATCGGGGGATTTGGAGGGTAGGAAAAGAATAAATGAAACAAGATGGGATCCGGAGGGAGACAAACTATAAGAGACTCTTAATCTCACAAAACAAACTGAGGGTAGCTGAGGGCAGGGGACTAGGGAGAGGGTGGTGGGATTATGGACATTGGGGAGGGTGTGTGCTATGGTGAGTGCTGTGAAGTGTGTAAACCTGGTGATTCATAGACCTGTACCCTGGGGCTAATAATACATTATATGTTTATTAAATAAATAAATAAATAAATATAAATAAATTAAGAAAAAGTAGAGAATCTTATGGTATGTCTGTTGTACCTCAATACTGCTCTTTTTAAAAATTTTTTAGATTTTATTTTTAAAAAATATGGAACGCTTCACGAATTTGCGTGTCATCCTTGTGCAGGGGCCATGCTAATCTTTTCTGTATCGTTCCAATTTTAGTATATGTGCTGCCGAAGCGAGCACAATACTGCTCTTTTTAAAAAATGGTTAAAATGGGATGCCTGAGTGGCTCAGTGGGTTAAGCATCTGCCTTTGGCTCAGGTCACGATCTCACAGTCCTGGGATTGAGCCCCACATCAACCCCCCCTTGGGCTCCTTGCTCAGTGGGGAACCTGCTTCTCCCTCTCCCTCTCCGCATCCCCCCCCCCCCTTCTGTCCCCGTCTCTCTCTCAAATAAATAAATAAAACGTTTAAAAAAATTGGTTAGGGCACCGGGGCGGCTCAGTTGGTTAAGCGACTGCCTTCAGCTTAGGTAGTGATCCTGGAGTTCCAGGATTGAGTCCTACATAGGGCTCCCTGCTCAGCAGGGAGTCTGCTTCTCCCTCTGACCCTCTCCCCTCTCATGCTCTCTCTCACACTTTCTCTCAAGTACATAAATAAAATCTTTTAAAAAAATTGGTTAAAATGCATGTCTGTTCACCTAGCAATTACAGTTCAACAAAATCAACAATCCTTTACACGGCTGAAAAAAAGAAGTTGCAGAATAATATAGACTCTAGGGGCACCTGGGTGGCTCAGTGGGTTAAGCCTCTGCCTTCGGCTCGGGTCATGATCCCAGAGTCCTGGGATCGAATCCCGCATCGGGCTCTCTGCTCAGCAGGGAGCCTGCTTCCCCTCTCTCTGCCTGCTGCTATGCCTACTTGTGGTCTCGCTCTCTGTGTCAAATAAATAAATAAAATCTTTTAAAAAAGAGTAATATAGACTCTAGTAAATTATTATTGCTAACCACATTTTTAAACGCTGAAGAACAGATATACAATTTAAACTTTTGTAAGCAGAAACCACTACAAAGCTAAGACCAAGTATCCCACACAAGGCAGTGAAGTAGACTTCAAATCCCAGTGTCTACCCGCCAGACCAGGTCATCTCAGAGAGGCCGAATAACCAGAAGCAAGGCTGAAAGTCCCCCAGGGATAAAGCCGGTCCCCAAACTCATACTAATCTTACTTTGATTGCTTTCAATCCATATGTTTTATCTTTTCCCACAATGGCAGTGACTTCTTGTCCAACCTTCAGAGGGACATCGCCAGTCACAACATCACTACTGAAGTAGATCAATTCATCAATCAAACCATAATCACTACAGATATTCGTCACAACTCCTTGCGCAGTTTTCAACCTGGTGCCACCTAAAAGATGGGGAAACAAAACATTCCATTAGTTAACGTCCAAAGCGAATTACACATAAGTAAGCCTTACCACAGGAAGTCCTGGTAGACGACGATCTAAATCGAGAAAGAAATTAGATGTAGCTTGAGATACAGATGACTGTGACAGAGGAACATAGTGATTAAGTGTTTGGGAGGCAGAACGCTCACGTTGAAAGGTTGGTGCCACCATTTCTCTGTATGGCACAGCGGCCCAATGCCCTCAGTAGAGGAGCTCTGCTGGAGAAGGCAGAGTCTGGAACCTGCCTGCCTGGCCGTGAACACAGCTCTTCCCTTTACCATCTGTGTAACCCTGGGCACATTTCCTAACCAACCAGAATTTGTTTTCATCTGTAAAACCAGGGCATTACTAATGTCTGCCTAGGAGAGCACATCTTAAATGTTCTCATTGCACACACACACACGATAATTACATAAGGTGATGGATGGCACCTTAAACTTACAGTGTTATACATAATTATGTCTCAGTAAAGTGGAGGGGGAAAGGGTTGTTTTAATTAGGAACTGACACATCTGTGTCAACAGCTTAAAACTGTGAATCCCTCCCTCCGGTTAGAGCTTACATGTTAGTTGTTGTCATGGTTTCTGCATCTAGAGAGTCTTTAAACAGCCATTATTGTTACTGAATTTTATCCTTATCGACAAGAGCAGCAGAAGCAGGGGGAGATTATGCAAACATCTCACCAGACAAAAGCACATAAAGAGATCTGAGGGTTTAAATCTAGCTCAAATGCACATCCAAAACACTCAGGTTTATTTTTTTTTTTCCTCGAACACAGCTAGTAAGCCATAATTTGGGATCTGAACCTAGAGAGTAAGTCTGCAGAGCCCACTACAAACCACAAAGCTTTGGTGCCTGCCCAAAAATGAGACTGGGAGAAACAGACAAGGAGGCTGGGAGAAACACTGATTATAAATTGATTATGGTTTCAAGAAGCCAAAAAAAAAATATCTGAGAACTTTTATTTAAAGATTTTATTTATTTGAGACAGACTGTGCCCACGGATGAGGGACAAGGGCAGAAGCAGAGGGAGAAGCAGACTCTGTGAGCAGGGAGCCCGAGTCGGGGCTCGATCCCAGAACCCCGGCCTCACGATCTGAGCTGACATCAGCCGCTTAACCGACTGAGCCACCCAGGCGCCCCCTGAAACCTCTTTTAAAATGGGTCAAATTCGTCAAGTCATAAAACACAAGAAAAGTGAAAGGGCCAAGAGTGACTGACAACTGCCCCTTAGGCTCAAGAAAATATATCAGAAACTCTTCTGTATTGCCCCATGGGCAAAAATACGGCAAACAGGGGCGCCCGAGCGGCTCAGCAGGTTGGGCATCTGCCTTCTGCTGGGCGTCGTGATTAGTCCTGGGATCGAGCCCCGTGCCGGGCTCCCTGCTCGGCGGGGAGCCTGCTTCTCCCTCTCCCTCTCTCTCTCTGTTAAATGAATAAAATCTTTAAAATAAGTGTGGCTGACGGATGCAGTGGCGAGAGCTTCCCGGGGGAGAGGAGCTGCTGGCAGATTCAGGCACCTGGCAGGACGGGGCACTGCTGGGGGGAGATGACGCCGACCACAGAGGGGACCCTCCTGAGCCTGCCGTGCTCATCCTGCAGAAGGAGGCGGGGGGCGGGCGATTGGAGCCACAGGAGGAAATGGCTGCTGGGCCTCGGGGTCTGGGTGACTCCAGCCCAGTGCCCGCTCTCCCCTGGGCATGTGTCCCCTGCCTCCCGCTGTAACCGGGACGTGAGGATGCTCCCACTTCCCTGCGGGGTTTTCCGAGGGCCATGTGGCAGTAATGGTCGGACGGCCCTGAGTCTGGTGCTTGGCAGAGACATGGGCTCGGCTCATCGGATTCATGCTTCAGGGCAGGACTGCCGCCAACCCCGGCGAAATTCTCGGTGTTCACGGGTGCCCCCGATACAGCAATGCCTGCCCTGGTGTCCCCTGAGTCACCACCCCCTCAGTCCCCGACTCTGGGGCAGGATTTCAGGATATAAAGGGCAGCCACTTCCATGTGGCCCCAGGCCTGCTTCCAGCGACTGACCTAGAACTTGACCACTTGGCTTCAAATACATGCGTGTTTAAGAAACGAAATTGAATGCACCCTCTAATCTGGGTGATCCACTGCTAGTGGAAATATGAAAAGGAATCGGTTGTACCTTACATAACATATGCACAACGTTAAGTTCCAAAGGCACGGGGGGGAAGTGCAAGGGTGGGGCACGGCTCCCCAGGGGCCTTCTCTGTCTACACCACCATCGATCACTTTGGACGGGAGGGTTCTGGGTATGCTCAGGAACTCGGGGATGCCTCTTCCCACAAGGAGGCGCTGCCACGCCCATGCAGCCCCCTTCGGAGCGCCTGAGGCTCTGAATCAGGGGAGAGGAGCACCCTTAGGTGCAGGCCTCTGAGAGGGAGAAGACGAAAATGAATACCTTCCAAGAGACTCATATGCTGCTCCCTCTCGGCCTCCGACGAGTCCACCCTCCTCCGGAAGAAGGCAAGAACTCTGGAAATAAACCGAAGCATGGTCGCTTCGTCAGGGCAGCCCAGGCCCCTCAGACACAGTGCCAAGCTCGCTTCTGTGGAAGTCTCTGCCACCCGGTCGCACTCTGATCGTAGCGGCTGCCTCCACACCACCGTACGTCTAGCCGAGGGTCTACGCGAACCTTGATGCGGGCAGAGACCCGAGGGCCTCAACCTGCCGCGTGCCCACCGCCCAGCCAATGGGGGCGTAGTGTGCTCTGTGGAAGCCACCCAGAGGCTGTGAGCCGATGGGCGGGACTTCGTGGCTCCTCCCACCACAGGCGAGGGCGGAAATGTGGTGGCCCAGCGGGAATCACTTCCAACGCGACCTATTTTGCACCTCTTAGAATAGAGGGTCTCTGTGCGCTGCTGCAGGGAGGGCCTGATGCCTGTCTTGGAAGGTGGCCAGGCAACTTACCCCAAAGTTGGAGGCAGGCCCCCAGGCTCTGGCTCCCGGGTGTGGGGCCCCCATTCGTCGCTGCATGAATGCTTTTCTCTTCCTTGGCCTCTAAGCCCCCTGCACCACCAGCCCCCATCAGCCCTACCTCCTCACCCCTGCACGCATTGCACGGGGAGGTCAGTGGTCAGCTCTAAGCAAAGGCTTTCAGTTCAGTGTTCAGTGATACCACAGATAGGGTGGAAAAGCCGAACTTGCACGTCTGCATGGGTCTCAAGCCATAGGCTGTGTCTTGCTCTCCTTGGAAGGGAGCCAACGGTGCCAAAACACTCACTATGGGGCCGACAGCCACTTTTAAGTACAATATGGAGATGAGGATAGCTGAGTCAGGAGGGCCGGGTGATGGAGCACGAGGCAGGGAGTTTGGGTCGCATCACTAGTCTTTTCTTTGGGGGACCAGGCAGACATTACATTAAGAATGTTAGTTGAAAAAAAAAATAAATATTGTAACAGCAAAATGAGTTTATTTGGGAACAGCAGACCAGTTGCAATTCAGGGCACACGAACCACGGTGAACTTTAAGCCAGTACAGAGTACAACAAAAAGCTTTCTTTGAGAGAGGAGAGGAAGTTGGGATGGGTGGTTTTGAAAGAAACTCATTAGGGGAGAGTGGGAATCCAAGGTTGTGATGGCCTCTGGTTGGCTGAGTGGTGGCAGTTTCTCATTGGTGGGGCTGTTGCTGAGCCCGGAGGAAATCTTCCTTCCTCCTGCTGCCATAGTAAAGCAGGCTCCTGCCTGTTGGGGGCCAAAAATGCTGCTGAGAAGTGGTAGTGAGTGAGGGCTCCCATTTAGGGCTTCCCCACTTCTTCTTAAATGAGGTTGCCTTTATTCATTTTTATATTTCCCCTTTGATCAAGATCTTCCCTCAAAAGCATCACTGATCAAGAGTCAGGTTTGCCACATTTAGTGGTTTTGTCCCTCAGTAACAGGGAGGACCTTCCCTCGTTGCCATATCTAACATCGGAGGGCAACCATTGAGATCACACTTAGTAACAAGGAAGGGCGGGAGGGAGAGCTCTCAGGCATTCACATCCAAAGTGTTTATTTTGGGGAGCCTGGGTGGTTCAGTCGGTTAGGTGGCTGCCTTTAGATTAAGGTCATGATCTTGGGGTCCTGGGATCAAGCCCCACGTAGGGCTCCCTGCTCAGCTGGAAGCCTGCAAGTCTACTTCTCCCTCTCCTCCCTGGTTTGTGCTTTCTGTTGCTATCTCTGTCTCTCTCTCACATAAATAAATAAAATCTTAAAAAATAATAAACTAATGTGTGTATCTTATCAGGTTTCTAGGCATTGGAGATTGTCTCAAAGTGTTGGGCTAGCATCACCCTGTTAGGCATGTTGTTTCTACAGAGGTTTATCAGGCTCATATACAAAGCTTAAAAATAAAGCAGAATTAAATCACCTTGACAAATGCAGATTGAGCAATGGTTCTAAACCTAGAGCCCCAGCCTGTGGGTAGCCAGCTGAAGAGATCAAAGGACCATGGATTTTTAGGTGAAATTCACTGTAGCCAATATTCTTCCTTTCTCGTTTTACACAATTGGGTTTGTGCTTTTCCAGAGGGATTTCTGCAAGGGTAGCGGGTGGTATTGGCTATGGCACAAGCACCTCTTTGTTCAACAAGTAGACGGTCAAGGGCTTTAGCCAGTGAGTCAAGTGATTGTCACTGGGCTGCTACTGCTTTGGCTGTGGAGTCAGCAACCTCTCCTAATGGAAGGGAGAGATTTCTGACCATGTGTTCATGGGCACATACTCTGACCCAAGGAGCTAAGGCCCTCCCTACAGAGGCGAACCCAGAGTCACATACATCTCTTGGAAGCGTCCATATAAGGCAAGTGTGGAGGTTTAATGGGATGGGCCAATGGGAAGCTTCTGCTTTATTATGGATGTGGACAGGGATGGCTAACCAACCCAATAAACATTGACCTCCAGTTCCCAACTATCTAGTTATATGTCCATGGGGTATGCCATCCACAGCTGGACAAAAATGAAACCAGGCAGAGCTCAGAGTACTCTAGCTGGGGTCTGGGGTCTGGTTATTGATAGATCCATGAGTCAGAATTTCCTGATTGACACTTTCAAGCTGAGAATCAGAGAGTTGGGATGACGTCCTGTGAAAGGCCATCCCATCCTCAAAGAGTCCTTTCTAAAAATCCTGCAGAGAGGAACTAGCTAATTTGTATTTCCTCTGGGTGCAGGGATACAGGACACACTTAGATAAGGAAAAGGGCATGCATGACATGGTGAAGATTATACAATTGGCAAAGATGGAGGGATTTAACTGAACCAGGACACTTATGGCTGAAGAAAGATGGAGACAAGGTATGGGGACAGTGGGCCATGATAGTGTAACTTGATAGGTAACATCCATAAGCCTGTGGGTATAATTGGAAGTGACATTTGGGACTAAGGACACATTGGTGATGGGTAAGACCAAGGGTCTCTGACACCATGAACAGATCCAGCAGTCTGAAAGCTTTCCCGTTTTTACAATAGATTGGATAAGAGTGTTATTTTCCCAAGAATGAGAGGGAGAAAATAAGGTAAAAAGCAGCAGTAAGAAAATGGTATGTTTTACACATAATATCTGATCATAGCTCACTGACACTGACGATTTAAACCACTTCCAGTGAAGTGTAGAAATCTTGCTTTCATTTAGGTCTATTGAATCTTTTCACTTTTTTAAAAAACCTGTGCACAGAGGTGCCTGGGTGGCTCAGTGGGTTAAAGCCTCTGCCTTCAGCTCAGGTCATGGTCCCAGGGTCATGGGATTGAGCCCCGCATTGGGCTCTCTGCTCAGTGGGGAGCCTGCTCATTGGGGAGCCTGCTTACCCCTCTCTCTCTCTGCTTGCCTCTCTGCCTACTTGTGATCTCTGTCTGTCAAATAAAATCTAAAAAAATGGGGCGCCTGGGTGGCTCAGTGGCTTAAGCCTCTGCCTTCGGCCCAGGTCATGATCTCAGGGTCCTGGGATCGAGCCCCGCATCGGGCTCTCTGCTCAGCAGGGAGCCTGCTTCCCCCCTCTCTCTGCCTGCCTCCCTGCCTACTTGTGATCTCTCTCTCTCTCTCTCTCTCTCTCAAATAAATAAATTTTTAAAAAAATCTAAAAAAATAAAAAATAAAAAATAGGGGCGCCTGGGTGGCTCAGTGGATTAAGCCTCTGACTACGGCTCAGGTCATGATCTCAGGGTCCTGGGATGGAGCCCCGCATCAGGCTCTCTGCTCAATAGGGAGCGTGCTTCCCCTTCTCTCTCTGCCTGCCTCTCCACCTACTTGTGATCTCTCTCTCTCTCTCTGTCAAATAAATAAATAAAATCTTTAAAAAAAAATAAAAATAAAAAAATAAAAAATAAACCCTGTGCACATTTTAAAAATATTTTATTTATTTGCTTATTTGAAAGAGCATTCATAGGGGAGTGGCAGAGAGAGATCCTAAGCAGGCTCCATGCAGAGGGCAGAGCCCAATGCAGGGCCAAATCTCATGACCTGAGCCCAAACCAAAGAGCCCATTGCTTAACTCACTGAGCCACCCACTCACCCCAATCTTTACACTTTTAAATATAAATGTCAAGTATTTCCTCCACATCAGATAACATAATTTTTGCTTCAACCATCAAAATAATTATAAAAACTCAAGAGGAAGCTGGTTTATTATATTTTCTCCTATTTTTATGCATTCCAATTACTCTTTTTCCTTCCTAAATTAGTGCCATCCTCCTTGGGTAATCACTTCCGTTCTGTTTAGGAAACTTCTCTTAGCTGTTATATTTTTATTTACTTATTTGACACAGAGAGAGAGATCACAAGTAGGCAGAGAGGCAGGCAGGGCAGGGGGTTGGGAAGCAGGCTCCCTTTTGAGCAGAGAGCCCGATGTGGGCTCAGATCCCAGGACCTGAGATCATGACCTGAGCTGAAGGCAGAGGCTTACCCAATGAGCTACACAGGCACCCCAGCTGTTATTTTTTTTTTTAAGATTTATTTATTTATTTTGAGAGAGTGTGCACCCACAGCGGGGGAGCGTCAGGGGCCAGAGGGTGAGGGAGAGAATCTCTAGCTGATGAGCGTAGAGCCTGATATGCAGCTCTTGGTCTCTTGACCCCGAGACTCTGACCTGAGCCAAAACAAGAGTCGGTCGCTCAACTGACTGAGCCACCCAGGCACCCCCTCTTAGCCATTCTTTCACGGTATGTCTACTGGTCAAAATTTCTCTTAATTTTCCTTCATCTGAGAATGGCTTTATTTCCGCTTCATTTCAGAAGGATGTATGCACAGAGATGGAATTTGTGTTCAGGTGGTAAAGTGAACCACTGATTAGTTCTGCTTGTCACCACCTCCTTCTGTTTCTTTGATGCTTCCGGTTTGCCTTTTTCCCCTTGAGCGAGTAAGAAGGAATTGCCAGATCCGTATACATGACTTTGCTGAGTTCCTTAAACAGTTCTGGAGAGGCCCCCGAGATGTTCAAGTGCATTTTCAGAGTCTAAATACTCAAGCCAGCTCTCCCTGTTAAAGGAATCTATTTCTTGCAGACAGCTTTTTAAAAGTTGTATGTATAAGCAAGCCTGCGTATTTCCACAATTTATTAAATGGTCTTAAAAATGATCAAGCTTGGGGCGCCTGGGTGGCTCAGTGGGTTAAGTGTCTGCCTTTGACTCGGGTCATGATCCCAGGGTCCTGGGAATGAGCCCTGCATCGCACTGGGCTCCCAGCTCAGTGGGGAGCCTGCTTCTCCCTCTCCTTCTGCCTGCTGCTCCTTCTGCTTGTGCTCTCTCTTTCTCTGTCAAATAAATAAAATCTTTAAAAAAATGATCAAGCTTGAGCTGGATTTGGCTTAGAATAAAGATTAGATGAAACCATAGAAGTGCTTCTAAGCACAACAGCAAGAAATGCTATGAACAAAGGCCGACGAAAACATGAGAAGACTCCTTACAGTGTCCAGGACCAACAATGGGTTAAGAGGAGTCCTTAGAAATGACTATGTGGTTTGAAGGAGTTCAGGATATGCCACGCCAAAATATGCCACTTTGGTATATTATTTCGAGCTAAAAAAGCACTTGAAAAACAACAAACACAGGGAGAGGCTTTCTCTGAAACCCCTGTGAAAATTAATAACCTCATCTGAAGTGGAGTCAGGAAGGGTGCCTGAGTGGCTCAGGTGGCTGGGTCTCCACCTTCGGCTTGGGTCATGATCCTGGGGTCCTGGGATTGAGCCCCATGTCAGACACCCTGCTCAGCCGGGAGCCTGCTTCTCCCTCTCCCTCTGGTGCTCTCCCTGCTGGTGCTCTGTCTCTCCCTCTCAAATGCATAAATAAAATCTTAAAAATAAAGAAATAAGTAAAAATTAAGTAGAGTCAGGAGACCAGAAAGGGGAGCTCTTCGGTCCTACCATTCCTTATGCATTGCAGATGCCAACAGAAAAGACATACCTTGCAAATAAGACACTGCATTAGCTATTACTATCCCAGCGGGAAAAATAAAGGTGTCTTCCCTTCCCTCTCCCCCAACAGCCCAGCCAATGGGAGGCAGTCATAACTCAAGGCGATGAAAAGCTACTTACTATACTGGGAACTCCGAGCTTACTCTAACGGACTTTTTGTTTCCAACAGCAATCCCAGTCTCCCCCTTTCCTCTATAAAAGGGCCTTCTTGGGGAACCTGGGTGGCTTGGTGAGTTAAGCATCTGCCTTCGGCTCAGGTCATGATCCCAGGATCTTGGGATACAGCTCCAAGTCCGGCTCCCTGTTCAGCAGGGGAGTCAGCTACTTCCTCTCTCTCTGACTCTGCTCCTGTGCTCTCTTGCTCACTCTCTCTCAAATAAATAAATAAAATATTTTTTAAAAAGCCTTCCTTTCTTTTGTTCTCCAGATTTCCCTGCCATTAAGCCCTTGTTTCCTTGACCTTCGTTGTAATTCTCTCCTATTCCCACATAAACATATTTTTGCTGGTAAACACTATTTTAAGATTAACATCCCCTTATGAGCCTGAAGATAGATCCTCCAAAAGGAACTCAATTGTCGTAAAACCCCTCCTTAGAAATTTCATCAACCAGGGAAGCTGATTCTGACCACAGGCCGGGAAATGAGAATTCCACACCACATCCAAATTCTGTCACAAACTATCATATCTCCTATCTATTCTAAGAACACACTAGTGTTTCCTAAAGGTATTTAGTCTCCCCTAAATTGCCAACATCTCTGTTCCCCTTCCCCTATTAAGATGGTATATAAGCTTTCAGATCTCACTGCCTCTCTAGGTGTTCACTTTTTTTTTCCCTGTGATGTCTCCATGCAGGTAATATCAAAAATTAATAGATGTGTATATCTTTTCCGCAGTTAATCTGCCTGTTGTTGATTTCTTTCAAAACCTAGGATGTAGGGACGCCTGGGTGGCTCAGTGGGTTAAGTCTCTGCCTTCTGCTGGGGTCATGATCTCAGGGTCCTAGGATCCAGCCCCATATCGGGTTCTCCGCTCATCGGGGAGCCTGCTTTCCCTCTCTCTCTGTCTGCTGCTCTGCCTACTTGAGATCTCTCTCCCTCTGTCAAGTAAATAAATAAAATCTTTAAAAAAAGACACCTAGGATGTGTGTACAAATAGAATCTTAAGAGTATAGAGGGAAAGTTTTCCTCCTTAACAGGTAAAATTAGAACAATGGGATAATTATATACATGACCACCAAATATACCGAAAAGAAAAAAACGCGCCCGTGCTTTCCTGAAACTCTTCAGTGCCGCTGAATTAGCAGAGATCTGCGAATTAAAGAAAGGTACAATGGGTTGCCTGGCCGGGTTTTGTGCGGAGACAGTGGGGAAGGGGGATACCATAAACAGGCGGGGCCTTCCCAGTAGGCCATCCGCAAGGAAGGAGCCTGGCAGTCCAGACACTCCGTCCCCCACGCCCCCTCCGACCGCTCCTCTCAAGGACACGCCCCAAAAGCGATCCCTGGGGATACCACCTTCCAAAACCTTCCTGCCCTCGGGATCTGCCCTTGGGCGCCCAGGAGGAGGCGGGGTTCGCTGGCGGGGCGGTCCCGTGGGCGGTCCCGGGCCGGCGGCGGCCGCTCCGCGGCGCCCGGAAGGGGGCGTGGCCACACGAGGGGCGGGGATACGCTGGCGGCGGCAGCCCCGGCAGCCGGCGAGGGGCGGGGCTCGCCCTAGGCTGCTCCGGAGGGGCGGTGGCGGAGGCGTGGAGGCGCCGCGGAGGCTGCATCCCCGACCCAGCCAGGGAAGGAGTGACCGGGGGCGGGGCGGGAGGGCACCGGCGGCCGGCGGGGCGCCTCAGACCTCGAGTCCACCTGCCCGGCCGCACGCTCTCCCCTGGGTCGGCGGGGCCTGCGCCGGCCCGGACCCATGGCGGCGTCGGCGGCGCTGTCGGCGGCGGCGGCGGCGGCGGCCCTGTCGGGCCTGGCGGTGCGGCTGTCGCGGTCGGCGGCGGCCCGCGGCTCGTACGGCGCCTTCTGCAAGGGGCTCACGCGCACGCTGATCACCTTCTTCGACCTGGCCTGGCGGCTGCGCATGAACTTCCCCTACTTCTACGTGGTGGCCTCGGTGATGCTCAACGTCCGCCTGCAGGTGCGGATCGAGTGAGCGGGCGCCGCCGCAGCCCCCGCCGGAGGGTCCCGCGCGCCGGGCGGCGCCGGGCAGGGGCGCCGGCATGGAGGATGGCCGGCGGGACGCGGCGGGGGCAGGAGGCGGGGCGGCCCGGGCTTCCGGGCCCTAGACCTCCGCGGGGGGGTGCCGGCCACCCGGCCGCCCAGCCACCCGGCCGGGCCCCGGCCACGACCGGCCGCCCGCCCGCGGCGTGGCCGGTGACCTATTGCACAGAAACTCTGCCAACGGGCCCTTACTGTCGGGCTCGAGGGGAAAAAACCAAACAAACCAAAAAACGATTTGAGGGCGGCCGACCTGTTGCCTCCCGTTGGCCAGAGCCGGGGAAGCCGCAAGGAAAAATTCTGCAGCAGGGACTTAACTGGCCCCGATCCACAAGGTAGGAGGCCAGAGGCTGGACCCGCGGGCTGGCGGCGGCGCTTGTCATGACGTCTCGGTGGCAGGGGGCAGTGTGGACGGGTCCCCAGGAAGCCAGCCCCTGAGCTGCCCAGGCGGGAGGCCACAGGCTCCCTATACTCTCTGGTCCTCATTCCCGGACGGGGGTGGGGCGGCGGCGGCGGCGGCCGGGGCATCCTGGAGCGTCAGCCCATCCCCGCCGCGCTCTCCCCAGAGGCCCTGGTGCTGCCACCTGAACCCCAGGGAATGGAGGGGAATGGGCTGGGGGAGGCGCCAGGGAAGGCTCCAGAAGGAAAAGATGCTGCCGCCCTTCACCCCCTTGGGGAGCCAGACAGGGAGGGGGGTTGTGTTCTTGGCCAAAGCCCTGGTGGGTGCCTCTTCTAAACCCTCAGGCCCCTGGGGTCTGGGCAGCTGCTTCTGGCCCTGTGTTGGAGGCCTGCTCCTTCTGTGCCTGGGGCTCCCCTCCTGTTCTGGGGGCGTCCTGTGGCGCTGGGCACTTGGCCATTTGGAGACCCAGAGGAGTGGGAAGGCCGCTCTGCCCTATCCCTGCCGCCACCCTCCCTCCGGCCCCTAGGTCTGCCCCTAGGTCTGCCCTCCCGGTGCCGCCAAAGGCCGCCTCCAGCAGTACCTGTGTGCCCAGAGGAGCCGGGGAAATGGGGGTCTCCTTGAGCCCAGGGCAGCTCGCAGGCTGGGGAGTGGAGAGCAGGTAGAGCAGCGGCTTGCGAGGAGGCAACCCTTGGGGAAAGGCGCCCCACACTCCGTGGGACCACTGTGGAGTCTCCATCTCTCTGTCTTTCAGGAACCAGTGTTCGTAGGTGGTGACCCACCTCTTCCGTGGCCTTGTCGAGAGACTGCAATCCCTGCCCAGGGGCGGCCCCTGGGCCCAGTGCTGCCTGGGGAGCTGCTGGGCAAAGGGCCTAGCCCGGGAGGAGAGAAAGGACCTTCCAGGCAGAGGCACCGGGTGCTGGGGTAGCGGGTGGTCCCGTTCTGGCATGGGGAAGGACGTGACCCTGTCACCTCAGCACTGCATCTCCTAGCGACACTTTGAGGGCGTTCTGTGCTCCCCACCTGATGATTGGAAGAGCTGGCTCTGGGACTGGGAGAGATGTGTCCTTGTCCTACAGATACGAAGGAGTGGGGCTGAATCTGTGCCCTGTCTTTGAGAAAACTTGGCTCTGTGGGGGAGGGGAGCTCAAGGCCCCCCAGGGGACCTAGGGGGAGAGAACGAGGTCCAGGGTAGGGAATGTGGGGAACTGGCTCTTCTTGGGGTGGTGTGGGAGGCCACAGGGAAGACTGTCGGAGCTGAGATGGACACAGGAGAGAGTCCTAGAATGCCTCGCAGAGTAGAAGGCTTTACCCACAGAGCCTGGCCTCCCCTGCCCCCCCACCCCAGGCTGGACCAAGAGCTCCTTGGCAGCTGAGTGGCACGGGCCTCTCGGTTTGGGTGGCGGGTGGGGCTGGGGTGGTGGCGAGGCCCCTGGGCACAGGCTGGAACCAGGAGGGTGAAGGGATAAACCTGGGATGGGTCCCCAGGCTCGTCACCCCCAAGTCCGGGATCCTGCCGGAGAACGTCCTCTGGAGGGGCTTGGATTGGCCCTGAGGCCCCAGATGTGCGGCTCCTTGGCCCACCAGGATGGCCAGCCACGACCCCGAGGGGGCCGGGAAAGACCCCGGTCCCCCAGCCACTCTGTTCTCGGTTGCTCTCGGCCCCCAGGCTCCAAATTCCTGGGACTGAAAACCCAAGCAGCCTGTCCAGCCCCAGGGACAGAGTGGCCCTGGGTCACCCTCCCGCCCTCCTTAGTCGCCGCTCTAGAGGACGGGTCCTGAGTGAAGAGCTCTGCCCGCCTCACCCCGGGGACCGAGGCCCGATGAGGCCTCCATGTGTGCCCTGCAGCTTCCCACAGACAGGGTGTGATGGCTCTCACCTCGTGCCAAGGGTTCTGTGGTCCTGGGTCCCGGTGGCTCCTCCTGTACCCCAATCCTCTCCACCCAGGACCACGTCTGGGAGCCTGCCGGCCTGCTGACTCCATCCACAGATGTCTGGGGACAGCGTGCGAGAGCCCCGCGGGGCCTCCCTAGGACGGATCCACAGATGTGCCCCTTGCAAGGCCCCGTCTCACCCTCGGGGTGACCCGCTCCCCGGCCGGGGCCTTGGGGCTCAGCTGGAGCTGCCTGGGGCCTGGGACACCTCTTCTCCACGGAGAGAGTGGGAAGCCTCAGGGCCCTGGCCCGAGACCCCTCCCCTGCGGGACACCCCAGCCCATGCCAGCCTGCCCCGGGGGCCCAGGAAGTCTCGGCACGACTCCCGAGGGACTGGGCAGGGGCTGCACTTCTTTGGCCTGTGGTCCTGCCCTTGCCCTTCGGACAGGATTGGCCTTGAGTAGGGTTTGGCCTTGAGTAGTTATTGAGCTGCCCACCCTCGCCCCCGCCCGCACTGGGCCCTGGCTGCCTGACAGGCTCTCCACGCACTTTATTTATTTGCAGTCTGTGTTCCAGACAGCAGAGCTTCTGCATAATCCAAGACATGGGCTGAAGAAGATGACCGTCCCTTTCCTGTGTGTGATTCACTGTCCTGGTCAGCACGGGCTGCTCAGAGAAACGCTCGCGTTCCTGCTGTTGTCAAATCTTGTCCCTCTAAGTTAAAAAGAAACACCCCTCCCTGAGTTCAATAAAATCCAGTCAAATTGGAGGCCTCCTCTCCTGGTGTGGGGTCCTCTGGGGGGCCGGGAGCAGGGGAGGGAGAGCCAGGGAGGGCTGCAGGGTGGAGGTCTGCCCAGAGACACGAGGCCAGGGCCCCTGGAGGAGAAGGCCGCAGCACGGGCCTGGCCAGACAGTGGCGATTTGTCTCGTTCTCAACCTTTATTTGAATAACCCGAGACCTAGGTGTTCTCTCCGTTTCAGAGCCGGGCCTCAGAAAGTGCTTACTACAGTGGAAGCTTGAGGGTGGGCTCGGGGCGATGGGGTGAAGGAAGCTCCCTGCACATCATTTTGGGTCACCCGGAGGTCCGTCTGCCATAGCAGGTGGCAAGGTGCCCCTGGCTTCCCTGCTGGCGAGGTGGGCGCCCAGTTTTGGAAAAGATAAAACCTTGGGGACCAGAAGCCTGCTGCCCTTGCCCCCGGCTGAGACCCGAACTGTGCCTTCAGATCCCCAGCCTAGTGAGTCCCCAGAGAAGCCTGGCCATGGGGAGGGTCCCCGGCGGGGGGGGGGGGCAGGGGCTGAGCTAGAAGAAGGAAAGCCCCCATCCCATCCCCACGGGGGAGGGCTCCTGAGGGTGCAGGGTCATGGTCTCCGGTCTTCACAGCCTGGGGTAAGGGCCTTGGGGGTGCTCTGCCCGCTGGGAACTACCGGGGGCCAAAGCACCCTGACAAGGCAGAGCCTTCGGACACCTGGCACCACAGGAGGGACGGACCCTGGTCCCTCCCAGCGCCCTGAGCTTCCCTCTGCTTAGTGCAGACGGTTCTGTTCAGTCCCTGTTGGTCCCAAACCCAGCCCAAGGGTCACGCAGCCTGGCGCCATCAAGAGGGGAGGGTCGGACCGGAGCTCGGGGTCCCAG